ACTGTAAAACAATTTATAGTATTAACAGTGCTATGGTTCGCATTGATGGTTAACTGTTAGTGTTGTTGTAGTACATTATCGAGGCCACATGAGGAACCCTAAGTTATGATTTTTGGTTAATTAGCAGCACTGAGACAACAGCGTAGCTCATTGCTTGTTTGCTATGTTCTATTTATGAACATGCTATATGTTGATGCTATGTTCTATTTATGAACAAGTAAACTTCTTTTTTAACTTAAACACTGTCCATGTATAATGCTCATCACACTGAATGGCTTGGCTTTAACACTATTGACCCTGGTGACTCTAAAGCTCATAAACTTTGTATTTCTTAATCTCTTACTCAAAAAAAGACTTTGTGACTAGTTTTCCAAACAACTCTAACCACCTATCTTCACTCCTTGATTTGTGTTTTGTCTGTAACTCCAACTTATGTTCAGTTTCTCCTGGTTCTCTTTTAGATGATTCTAACCATGCAATGACCTCTATAAACCTTTTATCTCGTACTTCTTCTTTGGACTCTATTAAGACACTTCTTACTACTACCCTAAAGCTGACTGGGTTTCTTTTTGTGATTTTTATGTGAGAGTCTTTGGGATAATGTCTAACACCTTTCCGCTGATAATTGCTTCTCATGTCTGTCCTCCTGGATTGAAGCAGGTATAAAAGTCTTTACTCCTTTTAGTTAGTTCCAAGTTAAGCCTCATTTTTATAACATGGTTCATACCTTTTTTTATACCTGTTATAGCTTTTTATAATTTTTATTTATTATTGTAAGAAGTCAATTCAAAAAGGTTTGAAGCTAAGCTCTATTATAGCAAGTTTTTTCTTTTATCTTATCTCAGTAGATAGTCTCTAGAGACTTTTGGAAAATCTTTAACAATGTCTTTAACAATGGTAAGTCTAAAATATCTTACTTATGGGACTTTTTATGTAGGATAAGTATGGTTTTACGGTTGATTTGCTAACTGTTGTTAAATGGAATCAGCAAAGCAGGGCAACTGCTATTGGCATATCTAAAACTTTTGATAAGGTTTAGCCTGCTGTTCTTCATAAATTTGCTTTATATAGTGTATCTGTAAAAATGTATGAGATCATCAAATGAATTAATTTTAACCGCTTCATTAAAGTCATCCTCGAAAGCCAGCACTCTTTTTCTGTTCTAGTAATTTTTCCGATACTTTAAGTTCTATTTACTATCCTGTATTGTTTCCTATCTACATAAGTGATCTTTATAAAAACTTTTAAATCTGTAGTGGCTTTATATGATGAAAGCTCAATAGTCATGTCAAAAAGTCTTCTTTTTTTCATTGCTTGGAACATGCAGCTGATCTGATCTTCATTCTGTAACATCAGTGTTTGTAGTGGCTTGTGAATTTTAACTCTAACAAAACTCAGTGATATACTGAAAACAGCTATCGAAATATTATCGACATTTGTATGTTAATTAATAACACCCTCTCACTTAGCTAATTCCTTATTTTTACCTCTTTTTGGATTATCGATTACTCTTGACCTCTCACAGAAATCATATATACAATCAATTTCAAATTTAGCATCTGCTAACGTTGCTTCTCTTTATTGATTTTACCATTATTTTACTTCTGATTTTGTTCTCTACCTCTACGAATCTCTTTTTCACTAACAAGGTCCAATAATAATGCGTTCTTTGATCTGTTTTATTTGCCAAGCTTGAGCATCTCTCTCCCATTGTTATAAAGTGGCATCTCTTTCCCTTTCTAGAAATACAAATCATGGTTGCTGCTCAAAGATATCATCTCTAGTTCTATCAGTTAAAACTTATTTTTGATTGAATTATGATTAAGCAAAGTCACAGCTTTTTACTTTACCTGTCCCTGAATGTATATTAGGGTCATTAGTTTACACAAAAATGGATTGGTTTTGGTCAATAATCTCCCGTACCAAATGTTTTATATTAAAACACTCTTTGCAAAAGTCTTACAAAACAAATTATTTTAAAATTAACAGTAAAAATTTTAAATGTTTTGTTTAATTTGATGCAATGTATCATTTATATAAATATAAATAATAAATATTTATATAAAATAAATATATTTATAGAAAATATTCACTACTACTTAATGTGAATCAAGTAATGCAGTATTGCAAAGACCTGCAAACGGAAATGCCCTATAAAATGCAGCCTAATAAAATTCCAGGAAATGTTTTAAGGCTATACTTTAACGTCAATTAAAATGATTTTTATCTAAACTTTAAATACTGAAACATTTTTTTAAGTTAAGAATGTTTATTCTTTTAAGATTCAAAAACTAGTTGTTACTTTACGTGAATTTAAGGTATACCTTAAGGTATTTAAGTGAATTTAAGGTATACCTTAAGGTATTTAAGTGAATTTAAGGTACACCTTAAGGCTATATATAGCCTTAAAATATAATTCAAAAACTGTATCCAGCTACATTTTCTAGGGTGTTTGCATATTTTCAGGTTTCTAGGGAAAATAAAAAGTTTCTAGTTCAAAATTATATCGTTATTTTGGCAATATTAGTTGAAAAAACTTATTCATTAACTTATTCGCAGCTTATACAGCTGCGAAAAAATAAAATAACACCACTACTACAAAATGGTTAAAATTAGAATTTTTAACTATTTTTGATAGTTTGAAAAACTTTTAAATACATATTTAAAAGTAAAATGGCTTCTAGTTTTTATAAAAAGTAAAATATAAAAGTTTTAATATATAGAATTCATTTATTAAACAAAAATTCAAAAAAATTTAATAAAATGCGAAAAAAATAATTGCACCACAGCTTTATTGTGTACTTTAAAATAAGGAAATACTATGAGATTAATTGTATTAAATATTTTACAATAAATATTCGTTATTTCTTAACATATTTGTATTTTATAGCGTGACCTTTATTGGCAATGACGGCTACACAACGTCTTGACATCAAGCTAACCAAGTCCTGACATCACTTTAGCGGAATTTCGCTCCATGTCTCCTTAACTACGTTCCAAAGTGACTCCTTCGTGGTGGGTTTGGCAGCAGCAACCACCTCCTTTCTGGCAGCCTACAATTTCTCGATTGGGTTAAGATCTGGCGACTGTGCTAGCCACTCCATAACGTTCATTTTATGCTTCTCAAACCAGTTTTTTGTCTTCTTGCTAGTGTGCTTTTACTCATTTTCCTGTTGGAACCCCCAAGACAACGGCATTTTATAGTCTGCATACGGCAACATCACTTTATCCAATATATCAACATAAACGTGTTGGTCCATAATAGTAGCAATGTGATGAATAAGCCTTTCTGTGTAATAAGAAAAGCATGCCCATATCATTATACTACAACCTCCATGCTTAATAGTTTTGATGATATATATGGGATTGTATTCTGCATTCGGCGGTCTTCTGACATATGCCCGAGAGCCTTTTCTACCATAAAGCAAAATCTTACTTTCATCTGTTCATAAAATATTCCTCCATTTTTCGAGTGGCCAATTTGATTGTTTTTTAGCAAACCCAATACGCTTTCCAACATGTCTGGCACTTAAAAGTGGAATTTTTCTGGGGCTACAGGCTTTTATTTCATTAACTCGCAGATTACTCCGAACTGTTTGCACTGTTGCATTGATGTTAAAGTCCTTTTTCAGCTCGGTAGCTGTTTTAATAGGTTCCTTTTTAGCCTGTCGGACTAAGCGATTGGTCAGCAATGTTGAAATAGAACGTTTTCAACCACGTGTTTCAGGCTTTTCTTGAAATTTTATGGCATTTCTTATCATTTTATGGGAACACTCAACTACACGACCAACTTCGTTATAGGATTTCCCTGCTGATATCAATTTTCGGATCAGTTTACGTTTTTCTGCACTACAATGCTTTCCGCATCCCATTTTTGTATGTAAATGTCTCCTACTAATACGCACTAACATAAAACGAATAAAATAGCAAAAAAAAAAACCCAACGCTTGCTATTTTTACAATTATTTTTACCGTTATCAGAGTACTTTACAACAAAAGAGTGTGTAGTGCTATTTTATTTTTCGGTCAGAATAGGCATTTTTGATTAAAATCGAGGATCACCAAGCAGTTTTTTTCCCATAATGATTTGTTTTAGAAAAAAACATGTTAACTAATATTTTAAACAGCGAAGGTATAAAAAAAATTTTAACTTGCGTCGTATTTTCTTAACAAAAAGGAAAATAACCTTAGTGGTGCTATTTTATTTTTCGCAACTGTATATTTAAAAAGCTAAAAAAAATTTGTAATTAAATAGATCAGAAATTAACTTATTTTAAATTTTGCCTTAAATCATGTTTTTTTTTCCAGAGTTTTTTTTTTTTACCTTAATTTAGCAAATCACTACAACTTCTCTAAAGTATTTTTTTTTTAATATTAAACTTTACATTGTCATAATTTTCAAATACTAAAATCTTTTATGATAAAATTCGATATCTATGAGTGCGTATAATCTTTGCTTGAAATAAAAATAAAGAAAAACTTCACAATTAGGGTTCGAGGAGAAGGTATGCGCATCTTTTTAAGTTTAACTTCTCCAAGGCGCTAATCACAAAAACTTTTTGAAAACTATTCTCATTTAGTAAAAGCATTTATACATCTAAGTTTGAAACTTGCTCCATGTCAGAAAAATATTTTTCCAAAATATCAATTAATGCTGTTTTAAAAATTAAAAACACATCTAAATCCGAAAATCTCCACATTATAGTTCTTCTAAAATAGCATAATTAAACATACTTTAAAGTCAAACAAATTTCAAGGTTCTTGGTTTGTTTGATAATTCAAAGTATATTATTTTACCTCGTTTAGGTAGTACTTACAATTTGACGCCATTATGCAACATTTTTAAATAAATATTTCTTATCTTTGAGTTGTATTTTATAAAGGTTAATACTTGACTCACTAACTCCTAAATATTAATTATACAACAGTATAAAAATAAGTAATAAATGATACTTATTGTTATACTATTATGTTATGTTATAAATTTAAATTTACTTTAGAAGCACAAAAAATGGTTGCAGAAAAGAAAATATTCTTTTATTGCTTTTTCTATTCAAATGATTATTATCGGAATGGAATGGAGTCTTACCGTTGTTACACTATGGTCGTATATAAAGGAAATGATTACCACAAATAATCCAAAACTAATTTATGGTCTTGTTTCCGTGTCATACATGTTTGCATCTACTATAACAACACCGTTTGTTGGAAGATATGTTGATAGGCGTCGAAACATCAATACTTGTTTTTTAATATGCAACATGTATATGCTTATTGGGAATGTGATCTACAGTCTTCCTTTTTCACCCTTATTTTTAATTGGAGGAAGAGTTATATCTGGCTTTGGCGGAGCATTAAAATCTATTATTTACAGCGAAACAATTCGCAGTTACCAAGCAAATGAAATAAGTTCAAAGCTATCAGTCTTATCAATGATGGTATACTTTGGATTCATGCTAGGCCCGGGCATAAACTTCTTTTTTAAAAATATAAACTTTTTTATTGGTGATTGGCATTTACAATACGTAAATTTTCCTGGGATTTTTTTGAGTGTTTTGTGTTTTATTATGGAGATACTTACTATGACAATGGTGTATGATATTTCTAAAGAGCTTGATTACATAACTCTAGATAAAAACAGTTCTTCAATTGATAAAATAAATGAGTTAAATATCGATGATATATTTAAAACAGCAGTACTTCAACCAAAAAATTCAAACCAACATAGCGTAATAAAGATTTTAAAAGTATTGTTTTTTAGCGTTGATTCAGCACTGGTTTTGTTTTCAAACTTTTTTATAGCTTTTTTTTTCATTAACACAGATATTTGGCTACCGCTATTAATTATTGAGAAAATGAGCCTTTCGGTGATGGAAATAAATATCTGTTATTTTGGAGTAAGTGGAATCTGCGCAATCTTGTTGATACGAATTATATATAGACCGTTTTCTGATGAAAAGATGATGGTAATAACAATTTTAAGCTTAGTAGGTTTTTGCATCGTTAGCGCTGGTTTCATTATTCTTTCATATATTCCCGACAACAAAGCTTTAAACATTTTAATGAGTATTGTTTATATGACAAGTTATGCAGGTGCACCTATAATTACAGATGTTTATTTTGTAAGCACGCTTGCTAAAATGGTAAATTCAAATGTTCTGACATTTGTAGACAGTGTTCGATCTTCAAGTTATACTGCTGGAGCAATGATGGCTTTTTCTTTCTCTGCGTTCATTTTTGATTATGTTGCAATGTTTGGAGCATTGTATATTGTCATTTTGGTAGTTATTGCAATTCTGTTTATTTGCAGAAAAAAGCATTTTATCAATCCAAAACTAATAATATAAGTGCTTTTGTTTGAATAGTATAAGTGCTTTTAGTTGCTATTACTAATAATATAAGTGCTTTTTGTTGCTACTGCTTTTGTTGTGTTGTTATTGGATGTAACTTGTAGATAACTAAAATAATTTTGAATAGATTTAAAAATTGAAACTTGAATTACTGCATGAACGTGTTTTTTTAAACCTTTTTAATTAGTGTAAGTTAATTTATTCATGTGTGTCTGTGTGTGTGTGTGTGTATATATATATATATATATATATATATATATATATATATATATATATATATATATATATATATATATATATATATATATATATATATATAGATATATATATAGATATATATATAGATATATATATATATATATATAGATACATATATATATATTCAGCAAAATTTCCATAGTTTCACTTATAATTTCTTTTATAATAAATATAAATGAATGTTCGAAGTATTTTTTTTTGTTTATTGCAATAATTATTAGGAATAAATAACACTGGTCTACAAAATTTCATTTTGTGAAAACTGCTGATATGCAAATAGGTGTTTCTTAGAAAACTTTTTATGCTGATTTCAAATATGCAATCCAATTTTTTTGTATCAAGTCAGAAGTTTTTGCAGTTCGACATTATTGTAAAAAAAATCAATAAAACCAGCAACAAAATGTACTTCGGTCATGCAGAAAACTATTGGTATTTACTAAACTAATAACATAAGCATAATATAAAAGCAAGTATACATTTATGAATTGTCTTTTACTGTGTGAGTTGTCTTTTGAGTGATTTTTGCTTTCGAGCAGCACCAGGATTATGACGTTTTAATGACCGGCAATAGTCAGCCATAATATTCATAATCCAACAACCTTTGTATCGACTCTCAATTGCACAAATGTCCTGATGGAACCTTTTACCCTGTTCTTCACAGTATGCACCAAGATTTTCAGGAAAGTAGTCAACATGAGAGTCCAAAAAATGCAACTTGATACTTATGCGGCAACCCAAAGCCTAAAATTTAACTACCATGGTCTTAACAAGATTTTTGCAATTGTTTGATTTAAAGTTTCCTTTGAAATTGTTGACAATATCTTTGAAGGCATTCCAGGCTTACAGTTAAACAGTGGCTTATTTAAATAAAAACTCCTCATCGTTTATTACTTCTCTGATCTGCGGTCCAACAAAGATACCTGCAGTCAATTTCGCTTCACTTAAATGTGGAAACTTGTCTGACAAATATTGAAATCCAGAGCCATATTCATATTATTGACAAAAGCTTTCATTAACCCTAATTTCATATAGAGTGGTGGGAGGAGAACTCGATGTACTTCTACCAAAGGCTGTAACTTGACACTATGACTTCCTGGAGTGAATCCTTCTCTTGCTGGCCACTTTTTTAGCATAATACTCAGAGTCTGCTCTGCTATCTCAGAGGCACAAAAAACATGGAAATTTTAAATAACCTCCTTGGAGTCCATATATGATGGCTATGATCTTCAAATCTCCGCATATCAACCACTTGTGCTGGTCATAATTCAAGGAACTGAGCAACAGTTTCATGTTTTTCATACGTCTCATTTAATCTTACCGAATGTGCCACTGGAAGTGATGATACTTTTTTCCAATAAATAGAAGAATTGCCTTCATACTGCGCTTTGTCAAGTCAATAAACAATCTCCGCTGATGAGCATTTCAAGCAATTTCCATAGATGTATAATATAATATAATATAATAGTGCTGTATACTTAAAGAGTGATGAGTCCAAACTACATAGAGTTTGTAACTTTAACAGCTGTAACACAAAAACATGCAAACATAATAAAAGTTAGTATTTAAAATGTTCATCCAATTTATTTTTGAACTGGTTGATACTGACTGCGTCTATTGTTTCTTGTTTAAGATTGTTCCAGTCGTTTACAACTCTATTTGTGAAAAAATTATATAGCGTTATATTTCCTGTATACTGCCTTCTCAGTTTACTATTGTGACCTCTAGTTTTATATCCGTTATCTAGCATTTCGGGTTTTATGTAGAAATTTAGAATAACGTACCCTTTTAAATATTTGAACATTTGTATCAAATCACCCTTTCTTCTTCTGTTCTCCAACGATAGTAAATCCAACTTTTTTAACCTCTCTTCATAATTGTATCTTTTCAAAATTTTAATTCTAGAAGCTCTTTTTCGGACACACTCTAGCTTATCTTTGTCGTACTGACAATAAGGATTCCAGATAGGAGCTGCGTATTCCAAATGTGGACGTACTAAGGCTATAAACAAGAGTTTCATCGTTTTTTCATCTAAATATTTATTGATTACATGTTATTGATCTGACCTAGCTTTTGATTTGCTTTATATTTACTATTTTATTATTTTTTATATATGACAAGACCTTCAATATTATTACAATATAACAATTCTTGCTTACTTGAAAAAAACTGTACAAATTCTGTTTCTTTGGAAGGTTAAGATCTCGAACTAGATCATCAAGATCTTCCTGAGTAAAAAGTTTTGGTGTGACATCTGCATTAAAATCAGGATCAAGAACATCACTACCATGTTCAGAACTTGAACTGTTATCACTTTCAACATCATCCAGCTGAGTAGGAGGAGCAGGAACAGGAATGTCTTCATAGTGTTCTACAGGTCTCAAGGCTGACGGTACATTGGGATATATAATCTTGTGTCTGCTCCTTTTGTTAAATCCAACAACATTCAAAAATCACAATCTAACAACGCAAAAATAGTAGTCCGTCATATGATTTGAAGGCTCACGTCAAATCAAGGGCACGCTAAATGGCATATTTTTCACTTTACCTTTAAACCACTTGCCAAGGGTTACTTTACAAAGTTTACAAAAAACATGAGGCGCCAATGCTTTGTGCTGGTCTCCCAGTTTACATCCGAAGTATGCATGATAATATTTCTTTGTTAAATGTAATATTTTCTTCTTCTCAGCCACTGTGCAAAATTGTCCATAAACATAACAAAAACTGTCGGCTTAATTTGTACAATGTCTTGGCATTGTGAAACTTTTTTTGAAATGAAAATCTGAAACACGCAAACAACAACAATAAAATATGCAATTAAACTTGTATTCAAACATAAACTGATGATATAAGCCACATATAATAAGCATAAAATTTGTAAACACAAATTTGTGGTTTTCTCAAAAACCTGAGGTGATGCAAAAAATAGAAGTGCATTAAAATTTATTATTTTGAACAAGCTTTCAGAAATTCATGTTTTACAATTTGTTGCAGGTTTTTTTCATGTAAACTAGTGTAATTAAATAACATTTTAACAGAAAATAACTATTAATAAAAAGTTAGATTTATTTCGAAAATCATGTAAGATTTCTATAGTTTCATTAAAAGTAAACCTATATAATTTTTGCTTTAAATAATAATCTTTTAATCACAATAGTTTTAAATAATGTGTACCACCGTTTACACTAATTCGAGGATTCGGTTTTTCATATTTTTTCAAACAAACCTTTGAAATATAGTTCCATGCTTGTTGGATAAAAGTTTCAAATTCTTGCATGGTATAACACTCTAGAGAATTTCCATTGATATTTTGTTCCAATATTCTTCATAAATTTTGAATAGAGTTCAAGTCGGGTCAGTGTGATGGCTGATTCAAAACATGTATAATTTTCCTGGAACCACTGTTTTACTTTTCATCCCGTGTGGATCGGTAAACTTTCACTAAACTCGATTAAAAAATTCTCTTAAAGATCTTCGTAAGTTCTTGCATTCATTTTTGTTGTAGTAAAACATATCGAAATTTTGCCGTGGTCACAAAATGCATCCCACACCATACTGTCTCTCCTCCAAAGTTACAACTCATATCAATACTTTCTTTTTTATAAATCATGTCATTAATACTTAAAATCATCAGCCCCATCTAAGTTAAACTTTTCATCGGTAAAAATAAAATTTTCTCATTCTGCTTCCCATGTCATATGGTCCTTGGCAAACTTAAATCTTGAACTTTTATGTTTATTAGTCAATGGTGGTTTTGTAATGATTTTTTTCTACTGGGATTGATTTTGACAAAGTTTGCACAAATTATGAGTTCACAGGTAATTCCAGTTCAGCCCATATTTGTTTTGCTGTTTGTACGACTGATTGGATGTTCGGAAAATGTTAAACGCAAAATAGAAGAATGTTGCCTTCTGGTTATTTTTTACCTATGCCTTTTGGGTGATATTTTTTGTAATTTTTATTTAGGTTTATCAAATTATTCACTGCATGATTAAACTTTTTGAGTTTCTTGTCGATTGGACAAACCTGTACCTTTATAAGCAATAATTTTTGCTTTTACTTCATTATTTAACACCCTTCCGCGTGGCATTATAATAATCAAATAAAAAATTTTAATTAAAAATACACAAAACTTCCAAATAGAACAAACAAATCAAATTCTTACTCAACTTTCAATCAATTCTTATTGTTAACTTTCAATCATCTCCTTTAAGTGGATTTTCGCGTGTATATATATTCCGGATTTTAAAAATATTTGGAAAATTTAGTTTCAATTGTTTGAAAAACACATAAAACTGTAATAAATACATTTGTTTTCAATGTCTAATAAGTAAAATTTTGGTAATAACAATAACTATAAATAACTGGCGCGTATAACTGGCGCGTATATCTGGCGCGTATAACTGGCGCGTATAACTGGCGCGTATAACTGGCGCGTATAACTGGCGCGTATAACTGGCGCGTATAATAAATAATTTTGGTAATAAATATAATTTTAATATATATTACTGGCGCGTAAAATCTGCAATAACTACATGGAACTACGGAAATTTTACAGTTTATGTGTGTGTGTGTGTATATATATATATATATATATATATATATATATATATATATATATATATATATATATATATATACATATATATATATATACACACATATATATATATATATATATATATATATATATATATATATATATATATATATATATATACATATATATATATACATATATATATATATATATATATATATATATATATATATATATATATATATATATATATATATATATATATATATATATATATATATATATATATATATATATATACATATCAGTAAAGAATTCAGCAAGTTTTGGTGTTTGAGCTAAATATATATATATATATGTATAAGGGCAGAACAAACACAAATTTTTGTGAAAACTGCACTTGTCTGCAAAAAAACATGATCCTTTACACATAATAATACAACTTAAATAAAAAAAATGTATAAATAAAAACAATGTTGAACGCTGCCAATTTGATACGATTATTATCAATTTAAGTCTAATATATGTTAAAATTAGGTTAGCGGAAAATTTTTTTTTTTTATCTATAACATTTTATAAGGATTTTTATATCTATTTTTTTCATCATCGAGTAATTGCTTTTTATTTTGCATTTTTTTTTCATCATTTAATTGCTTTTTATTTTGCTTTTTTTTTTTCATCATCGAGTAATTGCTTTTTATAGCCATTTTTATGTGATTTTTGACCACTTTAAAATCTTATTTCTGTTGTAAAAACTATGTTATGCACAACAAAACTGAAGATAAGAAACCCTATTTCAACCTGTTCTATATAATTATTTTTATGTAAATATTTTGAACTACCTTCTTAAGTAAATGTCTTGTATTGATAGTTTTTGTATTGATAGTTTAGGTTTTGATAGAATGTAATAATGGCTTTATTTTAAATAAATAATATTTGCGTCATTATACAACGATGGAATTTTAAAACATTTCCATCGTCTTTTAAGTTATAAAAACACACCTCTGCCTTTAAGAAAATTAATAATTTTACAGCATCTTATAAATATCCAATGTGTGGTACTAAGCTTGTAATTTTTAAATGTAAATGCAGTTTTCGTTTGCATTTTTTTGAGAGATTTTTTGATATCAGAGAATATGTTCTTTTATATAGAAAACCCAATTTGTTTCTACGTGTAGCGGTCTTGTTCGTCAAGGTTTGTGTTTCAAAGTTCTGAAAGAAGAGTATCAACAAATATTTTTTTTTGGAAAAGTAGCTTTTTCAATTATAGTGGCCCCCAAGGTCTCGAAAGGTGAATTAAGTATGAAGTGAAAAGTGCGGGTTTTTAAAAAAGGGTGGGTGCTTAAAAAAGAAAAAAAAAACAACGAGATGGTTTTCAGTAATTTCAAAATACTTACCCGTTCAATCAGTGGCGTAACTAGAAGGAGCACAACCCCAGGGAGGGAGGGGGGCAATGAGGGCGATTGCCCTCCCTTATACAATAGTAGTTATATTTTTTTCAGCACTTTATTAAAAATTATAATTAAAGTTGTTGATATACAAATTATTTAAATGCTGCAATGTTTGTTAGACTAGTGTAGTAGTGTTCTAGTAAATCTAAAACAATATATATTACAAAATTTAGTTTACGATTTCCCGATTTACCAAAACGTTCAATTACGTTTTCAGGATTTACTAGAATGTCAGGGTAAAAATATCAGAAAGCAGTTCTTGCTATTCATCAAATGTAATTTCTTCATTTTTTACTTGTGTTGACCCTTTAGAGCTATTAACAAGTATTGATGAAAAAAAGTCATTTTTATCGAGATACTTAAAGCCATTGTCAACCATTTATTGCAGACCTCTGAGTTTTGACCTTAAAATTAAAATAAAATGGCAATTTGGTTGCATCCATCTTTGTTTTTAAAGAGCGAAAAAAATCTATCGCAAACCTTATCGACATTACTATGATTGATGAAAAGGTGCACACTGCCTAATCTATCGCAACTGGCTTAATGTGTGTAGCTTATCATAAATTAATTAAATTGAAATTGTTATTAAAAAAAGAATTCCTCTAATATTCTCTAGTATGGTCTTTCAAGCTAGCATGCTTAAATAAGATGCTTTAAATGCTTATTGCATATTGAATATAAAATAAAAATTCAATCTTAACAAGATCTTTTGAAGCCAAGAATTTAGTAATAAAGCAAAAAATTTTAATTCAGAAAAAGATTCTTAGATAGAGTTTCTCCTTTAAATCAAACCAAAGCATGTGGTAGAGGAAACGCTAACGACGGTAATAAAGCTATGTATTATTAATAGCAAACGTGTCAATAAGATTATATCATCAACATGCTAATTTTCATTGTTGTTTTTTTCGATATATGAGATTTGCTTCATTCTTGCATCTAAAAAACAATATACATAAAATTTTAAGCCCCTGCACAACAAAAAAAGAAAGTGTTTTTTATTATTGTTGTTATCATCATCATTTTCATTGTTCAAAACTGTAGACTTTAATCTAATAAAGGCAAGTTTAATCATTTAAAGTCGCCGAAAATAATCTTTTAAATTTGCATCGTGGCGGTAAAAAATATAAATCTATAATCTTTTGTCATATAAAAGTTTTTCTACAATTTAATATTTGAGTTACCAATCATGTATTTGTCCAACCCTTTGTATCATCTTTTTCAATTAAGAAAATTTTTAATATCCCTCAGCCCCATACCCCATACCCCAACTTAATCATTACCACCCTTAATAACACCTATTATTTGACCCAGGCAATCCCACTTTATATTGTCTATTTACAAAGGTTATTTTTTTTAACCATGTAACACCAACATCTACTATTACCACCTGTAAAACATGATATTACATCCGTGTAGCAATACCACCTGTTATTCGACACTCGGTCATATCCTTTTCATTTTTTTTAAAGAATTAAAGTATGGCCTACCGGTACCACCACTTATCCCTTTATATAATCTCAATTAAAACATGATTTACCACCACAAATTAACCACCCTCACCACCTCTTCATTTTTTAAATCAGTTGATCCCACTCTTCCCATTAACCGTATATTTTAAAATGACCCCACTCCTCTGCATATTATTTACGTCAGCAGATCCCACACACACGCACACTCTCCTCCTACTCTCCGTATTGTTTACGTTCATATCCCTAATTTTTTTAAAAAAAAAAAAAGATAAAGTACGGTCATACCCTTGATTTTGTCTGGTAGACACAACAACATAAACATATATATATATATAAATATACATATATATATATATATATATATATATATATATATATATATATATATATATATATATATATATATATATATATAATATATATATATATATATATATATATATATATATATATATATATTGTTGTGTCTAATAGATATACTAATAAAAAAAAATTAAGGATATAACCATATTTTATCTTTTTTAAAAAAAAATTAAGGATATGAACGTAATAATAATACGTAAACAATACGAAGAGAGATTACGTCTGATGACGTAAATAATACGGCTATATTTAAAACTTGTATAACAAAAAGTAGCGAACAATATTGATCTTATGTCTTCGGATATTTTAAGTTATCATATGGTTTTTAAACTTTGCGACTTAAGTTGAAACATTTTTTGTTTGACTGCGAATAAAAAATCATTCATAACTTTTTAACAGATATACAACTGACAATTTTCAGGTTTGTTTCTATACAGATAGAAACTTGTTTCCAATTGAACATAATGATGTCTTTTTTTTAATTTTTCTATTGACTATATCCTATAAAATTAAAAAAACTTTTAAAAACAATTATTATTTTAACTTTTAAGTCAGATTTTAATTATTTCAATATAATATATCAGTGTTAAATCGATAAAAAGAAAACTTTTGCACTTGAGGCTGAATCAGTAAAAAGAAAAAGTCAATTTGTTTTTAATTGAATACCTTGGTGCAAAAACGATGTAACTCCACTTTTGGTCAATTTTTAGAATTGAACGGAAAATTACTAATTATAAAATGTTCTTACATTTGATGCAAAAAAAATTTAGAGCAATTCTTATGCCATTTAAGAATTTTAATGATACTTAATCTTTACATTCAAAGTTAATCTGTTTTTTTATTCTTTTGAACAATTGCTTTTTGTTTTAATAACAATTTTTTATTTAGCATAGTTAAAATGTTTTCTAGTTTTATTAAATTTCGTTTTTAAATATTTTATTAAGCTCTTAATGAAATTATACTTTTATACGAAATTATACTTTGATACAAATTATTGGATTAATTTCTGTTTAATATGGGGTTTGGTCGTATTGGATAAATTAACAATGCAGTAATTGTGTAGTTTCATTGGATTAAATTAACTATGAAATAATTAATAAAGTTCTTGAATATAAATGCAATGCTCGAACTAAAAATCATTTTGGAACAGGTATTTGCAGTCAAAAAGACGTTTCAAGAAGATTGTAACACTTTAACTGTTTTAACTATTTTATGGAAACTAACAATAAAGATGTAAAAAAATTTCATTACTCAATTTAATCTTATAAAAGACATTATTGATAAAATTTGCTACCTGTTGCTTTGTTATTTGCTTCCTCGGAATATTTTGGTGGCTTATACCTCCGAAAAAACTTTAAAAATTTTTTTTTTCGAACTTTTTAAAGTTAAACAACAAATTCTAATAAAGTAAAATCAATTTTAAATAAAATTTTTTCACTTCAATTATATCCTAAAAAAGTTTGAATCTTTTAACCCTTTATTGGTCACGTTTTGATAGCTTCATTTAAAAAATTATTCCTTTTATATATGCAACTAATTTATAATACTAAGTATTATTCTTGAATAAAAAAATTTTTTTAGTCATCCTACCATGAGATATTGATGGGATCCATATGGATTCTTAGTACAAGTACATGTATGTAGTACATGTATGTATGTATGTATGTATGTATGTATGTATGTATGTATGTATGTATGTATGTATGTATGTATGTATGTATGTATGTATGTATGTATGTATGTATGTATGTATGTATGTATGTATGTATGTATGTATGGATGCATGCATGTATGTATGTATGTATGTATGTATGTATGTATGTATGTATGTATGTATGTATGTATGTATGTATGTATGTATGTATGTATGTATGTATGTATGTATGCATGTATGTATGTATGTATGTATGGATGTATGCATGTATGTATGTATGTATGTATGTATGTATGTATGTATGTATGTATGTATGTATGTATGTATGTATGTATGTATGTATGTATGTATGTATGTATGTATGTATGTATGTATGTATGTATGTATGTATGTATGTATCTATATATATATATATATATATATATATATATATATATATATATATACATATATATATATATATATATATATATATATATATATATATATATATATATATATATATATATATATATATATATATATATATATATATATATATATATATATATATATATATATATATATATATATATATATATATATATAGATGCATACATACATACATACATACATACATACATACATACATACATACATACATACATACATACATACATACATACATACATACATACATACATACATACATACATGCATACATCCATACATACATACATACATACATACATACATGCATACATTGTTAATAAATTTATGATTTATACGTTGTGAAAATTGAAAAAACAGTTTTTCATATTGTTTAAACCAGGGCTGTGAAGTCGGAGTCGCGGAGTTGCGATAATTTTACCGGAGTCGGAGTCGGAGTCGCTAAAAAATATCACGACTCCGACTCTGATAGTAAAATTTCTTGGTATTGCACGTGCATGTACAAAACATTCAATTAACCTTATGTTCATACTAAACATCAAAGAATGTTTCATAAATTTGACAAAAAAAAATTTCAACTAACCGGGCAATATTTTTTTAAGAATTCAAAGAATTTTTCAAAAATTTTGCTTTGGAGTTGGAGTCGGAGTCGGAGATGGAGTCGGAGTCAGAGTTGTACTCAAAAAATTTCAACAACTGGAGTCAGAGTCGGAGTCGTTACTTTTTTTTACGACTCCACACCCCTGGTTTAAACACAAACAAAGGTCACACCTTATACAGTAAACTCTACTCTGTCCAATTTTACATAACCTGCATTTTCTTTTATAAACCCTAATATCTAACCAATGATCTATTTTGTCAAGTCTAGAATCAGCTATTGGTATATGTTTAGGTAGCTTTCTTAATCTTGAATTAACGTTAGTGTCATTTGATGCACGCTTAGGACGGCCAACTGAAGCTAAAACACGACAAGAATTTATTAGACCGTTTGCAATTTCAAAAATGAGCATAA